GCATGTCATGGCACTCTGGGGTGCCTTGAGAACATTTCAAGAGTGCTGTGGGGTACCACACAATGTTAGCACTGTTAGATGGGCAAATACAATGTACAGATAAACACAAAGATTTCAAAGAGGGCTCTATAGTGTTAAAAATATTTTGACCTGTTGTGGCCTTTCTGAGTTTTTTGCAACAGAAAAGTTGCTCTGTTATTTTTCTGTAGTCAAAAAACAAGTGAAAAACTAAGAGCTGGCATTTTCCAAGAAGTACTTTGAATTTTAATGAGAGGTAAGTCTAGCAAAAGGTGCTTTGGATCTAAAAAGGTTAAGAACCACTACTTTAGATTATGGGAGCAATATCAGCCAAATATTTTGTTTGCTGCTGATCGAACCAGGAGATTGGTGAGTTGATGTCTGATAGCCTGTGATGATGTTTGTTGTGTTAATGAATACTGCATAACAGAAGAAATGCATGAAGGCTGTTTCATCACTCCTAAAGACAAAGTACTTGATCTTCCATTGGCGATGTCAGGAGATCAGTCTTAAGGAATCGGTCTTGAAGAAAATAAGCTTTCATTGGCACAGGGTTCAGAATGTCAGCCAAATACACCAGGGTATGAGGTAGATTCAGACCTGTTCTCTGGGTGTTCACTGTGATCCCCAAGGTGTGAAACTTGTGCAGAATCATTTGGAGACTCTCTGTGACATATTAAGTGGAGCTGCCCTTGCAGAGCTAGGCAACTAGACAAGAACAAGTCACAATATTATTCCTACATGGATGGGCAGCCTCAGTTTGAGGCCTGGGTGAAGACACAGGGCCACTGAGATTTCAGATGGGATATACTTGGTTTGGTAGTGGTCCTGGCCCACCACAAACAAAGAGAATTTTCTGGATGAGGGCATGGTAGTGACCCAAAAGTAGTCTTTCATGTAGAAAACCAAACAATCCCATTCCAGGAAGGTCTCAGGTAGCAAACACTAACATCTTGAACTTGAACTTTTGGGTGGAGTCGAACATTTTTAAGTCTAAGATGAGGCATCATCTTCTTTTTCACACCTCTGGGAATTACTTTCTCCTGTTGTTGTAGAGGAGCTTCTTTGGGATCCTCCCAAAGATAGGACAGAGGAGACTTCTTGTCAAAGCAAAATCTGATGAGAAGGATCACTGAAGAAGGATGGGGAAAGGATTGGAACAAGGTACTGTTCTGAATTGGAGGGTATAGACAACTTTGAAGATATCTAAGATCTACTAGTCTCTTAGAATGTACCCAAGCATGCCAAGGGTAGGCTAACTGATCCCTGAAGGGGAAAGTAGAACATCAGGAGGCAGACTGCACCTCTTGACCATCCTCTCAATGATTTTCCCTGTTAACCAAAGAATGGTGAGTTGAGGATTTTATTTTAAAGGCTTGCTGGAAGATAAGAACCTTAACAGAAAAAAAGAACTAAAAGTAGTTGGGGGAGGACACAAAAAAGGAGCTAAATGGTGAAATAGGTGCAATCTGAAGAAGAGCTCTAGGGTAGCATGGACTAGATTGGAGAGCTTCCATTCCAAACCAAAGCACCTGAGATCAACTGAGGAAAGGAAAGGTCTGCTAGTGTTTATGCTTTTGATAGAAAGCATAAGAAAGGCATGGACATGCTTGAAGGGGTATGGACAAGGGTGTAACTGGCCAGGACTGCACCCTACAAAGTCCCACCCTCCCACCTGGCTCTCTCCTCCCCTTTAACCCTCCCTGCAAAGCCCCTGGCTTTGGTAAGCCCTGGCAAAGGGGAGGGGGAAAGCAGCAGTAGCAGAGCAGGAGCAGCAGCTAAAGGTTCACTGCAGCTAAAGGGGTATATCACCTCAATTTTGCAACAGATGCACCCGCCAAAAATCCAATGGTTTTCAGTGGCAAAAAAATTAGGTGAAATCTTCCCTCCCTACAGCAAAATGCTCCACCACAACATTTCCCAGAAGGCCCTTTTCTGACACCCACGCCTGTATCACCACTATGCAGTGCCTCCCCCCTTGGAGCTGGTGCCAAGGTGGAGGTGGGAACAGGAGAGGTGTTCTCCCACTGCCCCATTGTTGTTTCCCTTCTGCCACCCCCTGCCACTTAAGGTAGGGTCTGGGGCTCATGATGTGCTTACCCACCTATCATTGTGCTCCTACTTGAAGCTCACGTGCAACTAAACCTGCACTTGAAGAACACACCATCCAATCCCCTGCACCTCAATCTCAGGAACTGCAAGTTTCCTCCACCTTCACCTTTCATTTAAGACCTTTACCAAGACCATTCTATTTAAGCTACTAGCAGATTAGAACCACATTGTGTGGCCTTTAACCCTACTTTGCTTGAAAATGTCACCTGTTAAACCTTCTCTTGTTCATTTAAGAACTCCAGGTCCTTCTTCCCTCCCACTACAGGCACCTCACCCCAAGCCCTTCCCCACTGCATAGTAGTGGGAAAGGTAGCTGCTGGGACCCATGGGCCACCAGTTGGATAGCCCTGGTCTAGTCAATGGCTTGGCAGTTGGGGCACTTATCCCCTACATTTTGATTACAGTTTGACATGTAAAGAGGACTTAGACATCTTTAGGCAAAAGAAGGTTTGGGCCCATGCTTCCCCATCTATAAAGTTGCAGAGATGGATAAAACCAGTTCAAGTGCTTTCTGGACCCTAGGACATTTGATGTATCAGTAAATATGGGTACATACAGCCATTACACTTAGAAAGGTCTAAGTGAATGTAGATTAAGCTGGGCCAATAACTGTACACAAGTTCAGTGCATATAGATTGGTTTAAAAATGGTGCAAGTGATCTAAGATAGACCTGGTGCTAGGTACACTCAATTGAGATTGATTTAGGTTAGAATGATATATTGAACTTCTGCACTGTTTCTATGATTACAACCTAAGATGTAATGCTAATCTATAGTAGACAGGTAGGCTACCTCCCACTCTCTGCTGTAGAAAAAAATAGTTGGAACAATGCTTGGAGAAGTGCAAATATGAAGGTGATAAACTGGAACACCAATACATTTGTCTAAAACAGCTATTTGCTGCTCAGATCCTGTCACATAATTAATGGCATGTAGAAAGGTCCTGCACACAAAAAATCCTGTTGTGTTATAGTAAAGGGCAGTAAAGCTATGAAGTCTGGCATAATTGTTACAAATATTTTATCTTAGCGCCCCTCCCAACATTAATTTTGTCTTGCAGTGAACACTGTGCAAAGTGTTGCATGACAGAAATTGCTGCTGAACTGCATGAAAGGGCCTACCTTGATTCAGAGTAAAACAGCAGCACATGTTCTTGTGTCCACTTGCCAGCTGGGGTTGCTAGGGAGCTATATACCCAGTGTTCCCTACAGCAGCCTGTCTCCAAGACTAGCTAAAGACAGCTGAGTATGGAGCACAGCATACCATTTTTTCAAGGGTAGGCTGTGTTTGGGGATGGGGGAGAAAATCACTCCCTCTCTTATGCTAGGATTGGCACTGCAGCATGCCCAGTTCATTTTGTGCCAAAAGCCTTTTTTCCCTTGTTTTTCCTGTCCTCTGTCCCCTGCATTCAGGGAAGCTGGAAGACCCGTTTTACTGAGCTATGAGTGACATGCCAGATATTACAACTGTTGTGAAATGCTTCTGCACCACAAAGGAGTTGCTCATTTAATCAGGAACTTCTCTAAAGCACATGTGTACATTTAGTTGTGGATTTGTGGTATTTATTGTGGGAAAATTTGCTTGAATATCTGACATGTTACAAAAAAAGTCATGCTAAACTCACTTTTAACTTATAACAAATATAACATCTGGAGTGGGTCTTAGAATAGGAGGGGGAATGGGAAATAAACACAGTTTCCAATTCTTTTGAAAGGATAATACATTGTGCCTGATACACTGAGGCTACTATGGCATCTATAAAACTCTTCCTGAAAATCCCTTAATTTAAATTATTATTAAGGATTAAAGTCTATGCAGCCTTGCATCCACATTAATTATTGAAGCACCATGCAGAGCACTGTAATTGCCTCCTGTCTGTTACCCTATAAATGCAGTGCTGTGTTAAGATTATGGCAGAATTTTGACTATCATTAAAAATTACTTTTGTTTCTGCTGTTTTTGGGGAGAATCATCTCCATATTACTTTGTTTTTAGAGGGGAAAAAAATAAAAGATACCCTTTCCTATTATGCTAGTACAACAGTTCTACATTCCTCATGGTCTTAACAGCCTGAAATCACGCAGTGACAGATACACAATGTTGAAAAGACAGGCAAACCTGTCCTATGAATCACTGCTAGAAGTGCCAGTCTACCCCCTCCACGCATTAGCATTAGCCCTTGCAATATACCCTGGGGTGGCATTAGCAGTCTATCTTTTACTTGTTTTCCTACATCTACTGTAATAATCATTTCTGTTGATTTATTTTCAGTTACTTAGAAAAGATGCCTGGGACAGGGCTTATCCACTCTCTCGTTCCTTAAGCTTGCAACCTTAGGGCATTTTTACATGTGCTCCAGGGTTGGCGGGGAAGAGGGACTTCAATTAGAGTGGCTCTGAGGGCCACTTAAATTAAAGCACCCACAACATCTCATGTATCAGAGTCTCTGAGCTTCAAAATGGCAGTGGGGGTCCTTTAACTAAAGCTCATTGAACGAGGTTTTGTTAAAGCACCCCTACCACCATTTTGAAGCACGAGAAAGCTGATACATGAGACAGCAAGGCTGTTGGAGGATGCTAATTAGCACGCTCCAACAGACTCAATTAATTGAGTCTGCTCCAACATGCTGTAATTACAGTGCATCAGAACACCCTCCCCATACCCTCTAAGGTTTTGGAGAAGAGATTTGGAGAAGAAAATGATAGATACAGTTCTAAGAGCTGTGAAGCCAAGGAAAAGCTCTATACAAAGATGCAGGACAGTGGGGCATTGAAGTAGGAAAGGTAAGTGTGAAGGAGTGAGATAGGACTTACAGCCTGGAGGGCCGGCAGGGCTGCAGCTACAGCCCGGAAAGGAAAGAAAATACCCACCCAATTTCTGGAGCAGCATCTTGCTCAGGATTAGCAAAGGTAGGCCACTCAAAGGTATTTTTGGCCCTGGAGAGGGGCAGAGGGGGGTCAGTTCCCTGCAGGCCGCAGGGACAGAGAAGTGGCTGAGTGTCTCGGCAAGCAGAAACTGCAGAACGGGCCTTGAGGAATGCTGTGAGACTGACCTTGAGGCACGCGGAGGCCTGTGAACAAGCAGCTGGTGGGAATCTCTGGAGCAGAGCTGCAACTGAGGATCTGGAGTGAAGGGAGCCCACAAGGCCAGAGAGACTCTCTGGACTGGAGTTTTTCCAACAGAGGATCCAGAGGAGGACCAGAAGGGAAGGATCTACAGTTACAGGTAGAGCCTTCCTGCACAAGGGGGAGACCCCGAAAAGACTGTGTACGCTCATAGGGGTGCAGAGCAGGCTAGCACACAGCAGAGACTGGACTAAGGGATTGGGGGTTTTTGGGAGACATTGCTGGAGCCTGACAAGAAGGCTGTGATTTCTTTTGCTGTCTATTTTTTTTTATTTTATTTTGTTTGAGCACAGGCCAAGACTGGCCCCTAGAAGGATATATCCAAAAGAGGTACTAGGAGGCCCTGGGGTGCAGAGAAGGTTACAACAGGCAGCACTGCAACCTGTCTGCAGAAGAACATCATAAAATACCATCTGAAGAGGTTAGGCTTGGGTAAAGGGGAGGTTTGGAGCCTCACTGAAGACACAGGGATCAAGACTAGGCAGGATCACTGTGGGCATTGCCATCCAGGAATATAGAGGTCATCAAAGTCGTGGCAGGTGAGAAAAATGTAAGATCCACTTCCTCGCAGACCTGGTGATCCAAGGCCAAGTTCTACCGCGTCGCCACCTGTAGGCAGACGAGCACAGGGCAACATGAGCAAGCCCTATAATACCTACAGACGTCACAGTAAGCAAAAGAAGAAAAGATTACAGGTGAAAGCAAAATGCATTGTGAATGTGGCTTTGTGGCAGAAGGGATGGTGAAGAAAATCAGTATCATGAACCAAGAGGTAACAAGCAGAGGAAAAGGATTACTGAGATTCAAGTCTATTTGGATGTGGAAGGACTATCACAACATGTTTGTACTGTGCCTAACACCATGGAGCACAGACACAGGCAGGTATATTATCATTATAACAAACAAGTCCTAAAGAAATAGATGGAAGAGTCAAAGATAATTTTAAGGTATTGAGTTTCCTTGATTTCAGTGGCAGTTCAGCTTGAAATATAACTGCAAGATTTGGCCCTCTAGGGAAGGTTATAAATGGAGAGTGGAAGAATTGAATATCACAATAACTACAATGCTATTAAATTGTTAGTCAAGTTTAATGCATCAAAGAAGTAAAACTACATTGGCATATTTAAGACAAACACTTTGTTTCTATGCACACTATCCACTGGACAGTCCCCTTTTCAAAATAACTACTTTTAACAGTCCAAGACACTTCTTCAGAAATTCTTCATGTATCCAACCTTTCACAAGTTTCCTTTTCTTTTATTTGTCCAAGGGAAAAAAAAAATTAAACCTGAAAACATTTACGTTGCAAGCCACATTAGAATGCATAATTGGCATACAATAACCAATGTATAACAATTGTGTTTTACTTATTTCACTTTGTTCATCAATAAAAGAATATAAAAATCTTGTTCAACCGAGTGTTAAGTGTATTAAAATAGATTTGTATAGTACTGCACAGTTTCTCCCGGAGTTGTGAAAATGGTTGAAGGGACCACGTGCTGCCTAGTGATGGGTGACAGGAGAAGCCAGTCCCTCAATTTTAAAAATGGCATTCGGCACTGTATGATATGCTGATATCAGAGACTAGCCTCATGAGTGTGTTTTGGTGGATTCTTGTTTTGTTTAAATCCCTGGTGTGCTATGTAACTAAGAAACTCATAAAAGAACTGAGAAGATGGCATCTGTGTAACTTGGCAATGTCAGAGGAAAAACTGGGTTGCCCATCACCAACTTCCAGGGTAGGCCTCCATGTTACAAGAAAGGCCTATGGCCTACTAAGGTGCCGACTGACCCTTGTAGTATCAGGAAGACTAGCTTGTGAAATAAGCAGGTGCTCTAGGATTCACTTAGGCTAATGCTTAACATGTTCAAATGTGCATAAAAAAATAAAATAAAATAAAAAAAAAATCAACAAAATCTTTAAAAGGAATCAAGTTTCTGAAAAACCAAACAAACCCTTATTTTTTTCTACAGCCCAACCCTCCCCCCAAACTCTTGATATTATCCAATATGAGAAACAACCCCTTGAGGCAGTCTTTTCTGTACTATTTTCCAGATATTTCTGCAAGGAAAAAAAAAAAGTTTTCACACTACATATTTTTACAATAAAAAGGCAGTACAAAAATGTAAAGTTATCTTTTTTGGCATATTATCTGTACTGGCAAGAAAAGAACTAAACTTTATTTGCTTTAAAAAAAACATTCAAAGCAAAAAAATACATAACGAAAAATAAAATTAAATTAAACGGAAATAACCAAACGGAACCTGCCAAATATATCCACTAATATGGTTTATGCTAAATCTTGCACAATAACTCCATGAGAAAAATACATCAATAGCAAAATAAGTAAAAAGGACCTGCAAAAAAGTAAGGAGTTTTACAGTCATACTTCTTTAAATACTTCAGAACGCATATACAGAAGCATCAGCATGAAAATACTTCAATATTTTACTAGAAATGCTAACTTCATACAGTTTTTATTTAAATATCTGCAATTCTCAACTATAATAATACTGAAAAAAATGATATTTTGTTTTGAAGGCTCTGTGAGTGTCCATGACGTCATTCTTGACAAAACAGCCCCATTTCCAGTTCACCTGAATCAATGCGGCAGACCTTGTTCATTTCATTAGGAATCTATGGAAAGTCCTAAGTAATTCAGTTCCTTCTTATATTACTGATTTCCCTCCCCCACGTAGCTTTAAGCCCAACTACCTAACTACTAGCTTACTAACTCTTTGTATTTAATTTTTTTTCCTTAAAGCAGAACTGTAAAATTGTCTGCCTTCCCCAGAAAAGAATATTCTATTTTCTATCGGCCATACTTTTCCTGGTCCTTCTTATTCATAGATACATTAAGGCCAACATAACAAAAAGAAATCTCATAAGCACTGAAGGTCTCAGCAAATACAAAACTGCAGCAAAACCCACTCTGTGGGAAGTTGCTGCCACAGTGACCTACAAACTGGACTGATTGGTTTGTAAATTCTATGCGTATAAAAAGTGAGATTGTTTCTCCATTCCTTCCACTTCCCTTTGTGTCTGTTTCATTTCTCCTTTGCACACGTGTAAACAGTTTTTTTTTTATTTCTTGCCCCCATTTTTTCACAGCGGGCTCTGTCAGTTGTTACCCTGTGATTGCTGCAAGGCTTTGTGCATGGCAGCAGAGGCAGATGAAGGTTTGATCCAGGGGACGGTTAGCAGGGAGGAGGTGGTAGTTGTCGTCATGGTAACCTGAATCATCTGCTCATTTTGTATCAGTCTAATGAGAGTTTTGAGACGTTCCAGTGATGACTGCGTCCCTTTCTGCTGAGCCAACAGGCTGTTCTTTAGCTCTAAGCATTTCTGTCAAAAAAAAAAGAGGAGAGGGAGCAAGAGACAGAATGTGTTCAAATTGGTGTCAGATATCTCCCCTAATATCTTGTCTGGAAAATATGTCCCTTTCAAACAAAATCCATTATTCTTTGGGGACTACAAAAATACAAATATAGTAAACATAGTAGTCTCCATTGACACATACGGAGGACCAACTGTCTTAGCAACAATATTCATTTAAGATCAAATACGTACAAGGGACACTTTCACCGATTCCTGCTTAAAGACAGGTAAAAATTCATGACAGCCTCACATGGTCGAAAGATTTTATTGCCACGGCTTTGTAATGATATTATTCAGAAGTGTCAAAGCCACTAATAAGCTATGTGAATCTTCCTGAATGACACTGATAAAGACTTCAGGCCACTCCATGCAGTGCTATATTTTTCATTTGACACATATTTTCCAATCCACGATAGGGTGTTTGTTACCAATACTTACATTCATGTTACTAAGTTTAAAAATACCTCAAATGCTTTTTTTTTATGTAGAAAGCTCCTATTTCATGTTTTGCCATGGTTAAAAACAAAAATCTACAGAGAAGGGCATGTGCTCACTGCATCTCTTGAGCTTTAGTCTACAATACATTTTTTTAGGAGAAAAATTCTGGAGTTCCTGGGAAACTGGAAATACTTGGGAGCAGCAGTGTAGGGACACAGCAGGGTGTCCAGGACACAGGGGCAGCAGTGAGTACTAGTTGCCACTGCAATCATGACTGCAATCACACAGCTACCAGCAGGTGCTTTTTTTGCCCCTTCCTCCCCCGCATAAAAGTCAGTGCCCAGACTGGTTGCTCCATTTGCCCCGCTTTCATTACATCACTGCTTGGGAACAGAAATTTGCCCATTCTCTTTTTTTAATTATGGCAACTGTTTTCAAATACAGCTGCTCAGAGGTTTGGGATGTTGGATTAGAGGGCAGAGAGCAGCTGAAGGAGTCCAAGGTGCTAGATAAATGCAGAGCTCTACAATTTATCACATGCTATCACCACTGCATATGGTGTGTTTTCAAGTTTTCCACTTAATTCAACTGCTCTTTAATTTAAATTTTCCATAATATTAATCCAAACACAAGGAACCAAGCCACTCTGTCCTATCTTAGACTGTTCTCACCAGACAAGTGTGAATGGGATAAATATAATCATCTGCCAAAACTTCCATTTCAACAAGATGGAATGGTTTCTACTCAAAGCTTCTATTTCTGTTTATGCATAACTCTTACTGAGTTCAGTGGCAGTTACAGCCCCAATAGCTGAATGCAGCCTGAAATTTCTTTCATTTGGTACAGCCATAATCCCATTCCACTGCCCTAACCACTAGCAACACTTCACTGCTCCCCCTTGAGACTCTTCTCCATGCATGTGTTAACTTCTATTAGTGCTACGGTAGTAATACACACTTAAAGGAAATGTTACTCACTGTTAGACCTTTTAATAAGTTATTACTTGTCCTCCCATTCTGATCTAAATATGATACATATTTTAACATGGCTCTCCTGGATAATTCTAGTGGTACACCAAGTAGTGGGCAGTTACTGTTGTAGCTGCTACTTTAACTAACCAGGATAGGGAAGTTTAAAATATTTATTTAGACCCTACTACAAATAGACTACTGCATTTTGGTGATCAGGTTGTGGTCTGACAGACATACCTCAGCTAATTGCTTCCCCCTATGCATGTCAAAACCTAAGGTTCTGAACTTGGGCCAGCTTCCCCTAGGCTGGTAGGGACAGGCAGCAGTGTAGAAGTAGGTTGTGCTATTCCCTAGAATCAGGGCATGTTTGAGTAACAACCTCCAGCTAACATTTCAAAAAGTTCCTGAAGTTTGGCCAGTGTAAGTTCACATCCAATGATGGAGAAAACACTATGGCACAAGCCTTGAAAGAGGGATAATGATCATCTATCCTGCCTTACCTGTCTTTTGGACTACTTAAGCAAGTACATGCCACTGGAGCTGCTACCCACACATGGATTTTCATGTGGACAGATTTCTCCACACTTCTGAACTGTGTTCAGAATGGAAAGGAAGGGACTTTTAATTTGTTCTCATTTGACTGGGGAAGCATTATAATAGCAGTTCAGTCACTGTCACTTTCTGCTCCTTGACCTGCCAGTTCACAAAGGGACCCTGTGCATTTCTTTGAAGAGAAATCATACACACTTGAAGAGTTGTAATTTGTGAGCATATATCATTTTCCAGTCCCAAAGTGTCAATTTTTCAAGCAAAAGTTCTTTATAAACAACTGTGTAGAAGACATTCTGCCTCACACTTGGGAGTCTTACTTTCATTGCATTGTTGAGAAGTCGATCTTTTTCTTCTAGCTGTCTATGTTCACTCTTCAGCTCGCTGCCTCTCTTTAATAACTTTCTTTTCTCTTCTTCTTTGACTATGGAACAAAAAGGTTTAGAGTTAGACAAGCAAAAAGGGTGTGCACACACTTGAGAGAACAAGCATGCGTATCTTGGATGGAAAGCTCCAGAAATCTATCTAGCCTCTTATATGTCCAGAGAAATCAGCAATGTTCAATTGCATAAGACTATTGCTTCACTTTAAATGGTTAGAGTACAGTAACCATATAGAAAATTAATCTTCAAGTATGACAAATTTCATCCAAAAGGTAAATGTTTCAGGAAGTTTGAGTGAGTGAAAACAGGGTGCTGGAAAGGAGCTATTTTAGCAACCTTGACTGGCAGGTATCAGCAGTGATCTTATGGCTCTTTGTCAAATCCCTCTACAAACATTAATTAATACTCAAAGAACCCTCTGAGGTAGGTAGTTACTCCTATATTAAAGGTGAAACTGGGGTCTCTTGTTAGGAGCCAGGCCAATCTGTACCTGTTTTATGAGTAACATAGGAGTGAACAATAGCCAGAGTTCCAGTCCATGGCACATTTTCATCTTTCTTTAACACCTATAAGTCCAGGGAACAACAAAAATTAGAAATGCACAAAACCATACACATAATGAATGCCTCCCCTCACAACTTTACTGTAAAAAAGGTCACTCTGAGTAGTGCTGTATTTTGCAAACTAAAAAGAACTGAAAACAACTCAGGGGTGACAATTATATTTTACTATAGAGTGTCACTAAAGCCTTGCTAAAATTAATTTCTCAAATCTCACACCTCACAATCCCCAATGGATTCTTCACCCATCCCTTTTCAAACAGACTTGTATAATTGCCAGATATGCGACTGTGGGATTTCTTCTTACTATTGGCCGAGGGTGGGAGTGTGAAGATAGTTAAGGCATTTTCTGTGAACCTAGCTGTATATGGACATTTGGGCTAGAGAAGTTTAACACGGGGGCGTGGTCATTTCAGCTAGGGAGTTAAAGGTAGTCACATCCACCCACTTATTTGCCATTGGCTACAGAAACTGATGTGCTTTAACCAAGCTAACCCACCAAGTTGCTAGGCTTGGGGAGAACTTTGACCTTGGCTCCAGCTAAAACCATAGAATACAGGACATGATACGTTGCTTAATTTGGCCATTGGATTTGGCATGGGATGCTGGCTCCACTGAATGTAAATATATATCAGAATCTCTCCTCAGCATTTTCAAAGGAATGAAATAGTAAACTTATGAAGGGGCTAACACTAAGAATTTTAAGAAACAAAATTTAAACTTACTAGTTTAGAAATTAACTTTTACTGCCTTAGCCACTGCTTTGCTGCTATTGCTGCTCTAACAGTATTCACAACAGCTAAACAGATTATCATCCAGTCTGCATTTCAAAATGGCCATAGTTAATAGATATTTTTGTAAATGTTTTCAAGAAGATAGTGTGCTTTCCTTACAACTTCTAGATCCTCAGATAAATTATGACACTGTCTCCCACTGTTTGTAAGAGTTACATTATTTGCTTTGCAATGCTCTGTGAAGGCAGTTCTATTGTAAAAACAACAAAAAAAAGAAGGAAAAGGAAAAATGTCGATTTTTTTCTCCAATACAAATGTAGATACATGTGAAAATAAGGCAAAAAATGTTTAAAGTGTAAGACTAGTACATGAAAATACCAAAGGAAATTATAGGAAAAACCTTGATATTGCTTTTCATAACCTTGTCCTCTTGGTTGTTACTATGGGGTGAACTAGTCTCTAGAATTATCATGCATGCAAACTCTCTGTTTTTCCTTCCAACTCCTTTCTCCCTTCTTTTTTTTCTGGGGGTAGTTGCAATCTACATGCCAAAACTAGTTTACCTTCTGTTGGCACTTTGGGCAGATCCAAACCCCCTTGGGGGTAGTCTTCAGAGGAGGATCCAAGCAGTTGAGATGATATGCTCTAGGACATGTGCCACAGGGCTGCAAGTTAATGCCACGCTTGCATGCTGTGCAGTGTTCATCATGATGGATCTCATTCTGAAAGAGAAGGAAAGGACTGACTGGGTCAAGTCAACCCATTAAACAACTCTCCAGGAGCAGTACTTGGGGCCACAGTTTCATCAGACAGACCTATTCAAACATAATATCTCATTTTCAAAGGCACCCTGGCTGTAGAAGGAAGATGGAAACAATTTTGTATTCATCAAAAGATAAAAAAGCCAAAAGCAAGTCCAATTGGTTGAAACAAATTAAATACAATGAAATAATAAAAAAATAGTCACATAGGAACAAAAATCAAACATGTGAGTAAATTAATTTATCCAGTTGCTAAAGTTAAAGTTGTTCCATTGTTTGTTACTAGTAATGTGTCATTGTAACTTCCAGTTCATGTGTTGTCATGTGCAGTTCTGTTTCAAAGCATAGGTCAAAGTCAACATGAAGAAAGTTTGTCTTTCAAGTCCAAAGCAAAGAAAAGAAGCCAGGAAATATTTTTGGGAGTGAACAGGGAGTGGTGGGCAGTAAAGTTCCAA